TAAAAGAACCCGATTCGGGTCTCTTTGAACCAATTCTAGTTCAAAAGAACCCGATTCGGGTCTCATTGAGCCAATTCTGGTTCAAAAAAACCCAATTCGGTTCTCTTTGAACCAATCCTGGCTCAAAAGAACCCAATTCGGGTCTCTTTGAACCAATCCCGGTTCAGAAGAACCTGATTCGGGTCTCTTTGAACCAATCCCAGTTCAGAAGAACCTGATTCGGGTCTTTTTGAACCAATCCCGGTTCAGAAGAACCCGATTCAGGTCTCTTTGAACCAATCCTAGTTCAAAAGAACCGAATTTGGGTCTCTTTAAACCAATCCTGGTTTAAAAGAACCCGATTCGGGTCTCTTTGAACTAATTCTGCTCAAAAGAACTCGAATCAGGTCACTTAGTCAGAGTTTTAAAACTCCATTCAAGCACCGAAAATTTGTAGGAACCCAAATTCTTAAATCAAATTTTTGTGACACTTAGTCGGAGTTTTAAAACTCCGACCAAGCCCCGAAAATTTACGTGAACTCAAATTCTGAAATAAAATTTTCGCGACACTTAGTCAGAGTTTTAAATCTCTGATCAGGACCCATAAAGGTTCCGCATTTGCGTGAAGCACCCGGGTGGGTGGGTGGGGCGGGTGGGCGGGGTAAGTGAGAATTTTGAAGAATTTTTTTACGTGTGCTCTGAGATTATGATTACCCTTGAAAAAATTTTCCCGGGTTCTATGTGACATTAAAACCTGGGAAAAATTCCTGGTGCACGTTACAGAGATTTGCGCTTTATATGTTTAGACTAGTCTCTAACCCGGTGTTATAATTTAAACTAATTTGTGGTTCAAAAGACCCGATTCGGGTCTCCTTGAACCAATGTCTGGTTCAAAAGACCCGATTCTGATTCGGGTCTCTTTGAACCAATTTGTGGTTCAAAAGACCTGAATCAGATCTCCTTGAACTAATTTCTGGTTCAAAAGACCCGTATTGGGTCTCCTTGAACTAATTTCTGGTTCAGAAGACCCGAATCAGGACTCCTGAACCAATTTCTGGTTCAGAAGACCCAAATCGGGTCTTCCTGAACCAATTTCTGGTTCAAAAGACCCGATTCGGGTCTTCTTGAACCAATTTCTAGTCCAAAAGACCCGATCTGGGTCTTCTTGAACCAATTTCTGGTTCAAAAGACCTGATTCAGGTCTTCTTGAACCAATTTCTGGTTCAAAAGACCCAAATTGGGTCTTTTTGAACCAACTAAGTCGGAGTTTTAAAACTCCGATCAAGCCCCAAAAATTTGTGGGAACCCAAATTCTTAAATCAAATTTTTGTGACACTTAGAGTTTTAAAACTCTGACCAAGCCCCAAAAATTTACGGGAACTCAAATTCTGAAATAAAATTTTTGCGATACTTAGTCAGAGTTTTAAATATCTGATCAGGACCCGTGAAGGTCCCGCATTTGCGCGAAGCGCCCGGGTGGGTAGGTGGGGGCGGGTGGCGGGGTAAGTGAAAATTTTGAAGAATTTTTTTACATGTGCCCTGAGATTATGATTACTCTTGAAAAGAATTTTCCTGGGTTCTATGTGATATTAAAACCCAAGAAAAATTCCAAGTCCCTGGTAACCGAGAACTGCGGCTTATATGTTTTAACTAGTCTCTAACCCGGTGCGTAGCACCAGGCTTTAACGTTTCTATCTATTTTTCTTAGAACAATCATATTATTATATTTAAAGCATGCTCTTTTATCAAAAACATTATTACAATCCAAGAACTTATAAGCTGGTTGTTCTCTAAACTCTTTAACAACTATACATCAGATATAAACTAGAATTTAACTTTCAAACTACTTAACTCTCTAGAATATAACTCCTATAAATATTCCTTCTATATTAAAATCTTAACAAATAATCTTCCAACAATGCAAAATCTCAATATTCGTTATCCAAATCTATATACAACAAACAAATGTTGTAAATGCCCCCTAACTGAAGACTCTCTTTATATATTTCTGTAACTCAAAAATACTAAAAGCATTTAACAATCACTTATTAATATAACTACTAATATATTTTAACAACTTCAAATTACATCTTTTCAACCTATTACACTTCTTAATACTCTTTTACTACCAACAAACAACTTTTCTAATACACAATACAACTCTTTTATCCCTACAATTCTTGGAATATATTTCAAAACAATATATCAAAATACTAAAACCCTAATTAAAAAACAAACAGAACCCATACTTATCAATTTCTCCAATAATCTTCTATACTGGTTTTACTATGAAATATGGTCCAAATGCAACTCTTTTCAACACCAATAAGAAATAGCCTGAAATATTATACCTAAAACCAAATATATTAAATTCTCTACACCTTTATTCACTAACTTAACAACTCTCCATAGACCTCTTTTACAACCAATAGATCCATGCAACACTATTGAAAAATAGTACTTACAAGGCTTTCCCCTAACAACATGCTTCTTATAATGTCATGATTAACACTTTAAGGTTTTTTCCAACCTATCCTAGCTAGAATTACTTTATTTATTTAAATTAATAATAGTATTAAATAGGGAATAGAAAGTGTAATGTCACATTGGGTACTCTGTAACACAAATATAGTTAGAAATCTTTACTATAAGAAAATTTTTTCTTTTCTAAAACCATATTCTCTTTTTATTAGCTAGTACTGAGTTGAAAGAATTTGGCAGCCTGGTCAGGTGACTTATCTGCCCTCTTATCCAAGTCTTTTTAGTAACAGGAGGACTATTAATTTCTAGATTAATATAGGTTTATTGTAATAAAGTTTCTACTATAACATTATATTAATAAAAAAAAAAAAAAAAAAAAAAAAAAAAAACATAATATAGTCAGACCTCGTTATAGTCACTCTCAATATAATCACAACCTTGTTATAATCACACTATTTTTTTGATCTAGCTATTATAAAACATATAAATTTTGACCTTTATATAGGCACAACTTTTTATAATCATCAAAATTTTGTTTCCCAACCTAGTGATTATATCGAGGTCTGACTGTATCTAAAAACAAACCTATATGATCCCAATTTTTTGCACTAGAAAATTAAACTAGTTCTACAAATTCATAAATGAATATTAATACCTTTCCCTATCAATAATAAATAAGTAAGTAAAATATATCATTATTATTAACAACTTAAGAAATATATGCCAGAATAGTCTATAATTAGTGCTTTCAATAGTTAGCATATATCCTCTTCATTACTCATTCTGGGGTGCACCTCCCAGCTTTATTATATATTATAGAAGCAACTTTTTGAATATGAATAGAAGAATGTTCAAATGCCAAAACAGTTGATTACGAAGTGTTTTCAATTCTATTCGATTTACATCTAGTAACAGCATAACTTCAGATACACAATAACTCAACATGCTCAATGAGAAAACCTATCTTGTGTATATGTGCCTTAAACAAGCATTTCTCAAAATTGTGATTACATCCCATTCTAGCATATTGCCTTTTATAGTAAAAGAGTGTCTGACAACAACAGCAACTACAGCAGATTCTAACATCTTAAATTTTCAAATAAGTAAAGGTTATATTACATTTCACACACATCTTTTATTATATCACTTCTTTTCACTGGGAAAATTTTACAAATTCTGTTAAAAAAATGTGCTTAAATTATACATGTTAAAAAAAACATTTTTAGAATATGACAAGAAACCATATTTTCTAGTTTATTATCTTTCAATTAAGCAAATTTGGTTAATAAACTCATGATACATGCCTGGTTTATGCCTGGTTGGGGTGTACCATTACATCAGTCTAATTACAAACATAGTGCAGGTCATATAATGATCACTAATCAAAATTTTTTATACGCAGTATAATGTAGATCAAACGCGCTTTTAAAAGTAATAACGCTCTTTTATTGTCTGGATCGTAGCGGGGGGATAATGTAATACCAAAATTCTCGTTTTTAATTTATTGTAATAAAAATATCAAAAACGTGGCTATTGCATATTGTATCACGGTATGCACATAAATTTCGAAGTTACATTTTGATGTTTTTTAATTAACAATAAATCAAAAAAAATTTTCATTAAAAAATTTTTTAACTTTTACCAAAACTTTCTTGAAACCAAATTTGGTAATTTTTTTAATTTAAAATTTTTACCAAATTTAATCAAAAAGTCTTCGCTACGTAAAAGTTAAAAATTTTTTAAAAAATCAAAATTGTTAACTATTTCCTTTTTTAGCACAAGTATTTCCCGATCACCGGTAGTTGGTTCAAGCGTGAGTGTTAAACAATAATTGGTTCGTTTATAATTGAGGACGTTTCAACTAAGTAGCCAATCAATCGATTTCCGATTCGCGAGCAGGGACTGTCAAATCTAGCATATGATATATATTTTTAACTATATATATTGAACATACATTTAAAGGCAGTAGATCTTACATAATATCCATTCTATGTACACTTATAAGTTATTTTTATCGATACAAATAATACCAGACTTACGGATATTATGTAATACCACTTCTCCAATCTAGGATAATTTAAATAAACGAAATATTGATATAAATATGGATTGGAGATATTAATCGGTCCCTCACAATGAATAAAGTAGATTTAAAACTAGAAAATTTTCATAAATTTTAAATTACAAATTCTACAGTAGAAAATCTAGTAGCTTATCCTATAAACTATTTTCTATGAAGAAAATAGAAATATGATTAACATCTTATAAAGATGAAATATGCAAATTGCCAAACTTTTCGGTACCCCATTGCGACACTAATGCCAAATTTAATTTTTTTTTTTTTCCATCTCAATTTTGCCAAGTACTCTAGTTAAAAAATTAATAAAAACACGTTTAATTAATTAACTCTCATAAAATATCATTTATACTAATAAATTATTTTTGAGACCGATTAACATTCCTATTCCAGATTTATAACAGCATAAATCATATAAAATCATATAAGTTGCTGTTTGAAAAGGGAATTTTAAGTATAATGATTATTTTGATTGTTTTAAATTAGAAAAGTCAAAGATACGACTAGTGTAAACAGCCTCCTTGTGAACACAATTCGATGGAAAAGTTTTTTCTTCGTTTTGTTTACCAATGAGTTCCCATCTTCTCTCTTCTGCATCGCCGAAATTATTTGAAATTTCTGAAGGATTTGGGTTATCACAAATATCAGAAATCCAATTACCCAAAATTTCATTTAATTGACTTGCTGTTGGTCGATTTTCTGGTAACGGATCCCAACATTGAATCATCAAATTATAATATTCTATTGGCATTTCGGATTTAAGATCTTCATTTATCTCTGGACGCAAATTCTCGTAACAAATTTTATAGGCGAGTTGTAAATCATGTGCTCTATTGTGATGTGGTTTAAGTCCAGTTGCCAAAACCCACATGATTATTCCAAAACTATAAATATCAGATGCTTTATTTGGTTGGTGATTTCCAAGTAATACTTGTGGATCAATGTAAGGTAAAACACCAATAACATAACCAGGATTAACCGGCCCATTTGCTTTTCCATGAAGTCCAATATCGGCAATTTTTGCGTCCGTTGAAATAGTTTCATCTTCAATCAAAAGATTTCCTCCGTGAAGATTCGAATGAAATAGATTTTCTGAATGAATTTTTTCTAGTCCACTCGCAATTCCCCATAACATATCTACCATATCTCTCCAACTAATAATTCCTTTATTTCTGTCAAGAAATTCATAAAGATTCCCATTTTCATAATATCGCATAACGAACATATAACAACCGGTTTCATTATTTCTTGTAATTCCAAAACAATCTGCCATTGTTCCATTTTGTAGGCATTGATAATATCTTTTAAGCTGAAAAATCAGTTGTGAAATGAAATAAAATAAAAAATAAATAAAATAAAAATATTAAAAGAAAAAAAAAAAAAGACAAAAGAAAGAAAACTATGGCCAAATATTAACCAAATTCTAATTTATTCATAAAATACCTGTTCGAGAAATTCATGTGACAATATTTGAGAATTATTAAGTTCTTTTAAAGCAACCTCTATTGGCCCACTACGACACCAAATGTCCCCAAGTTCATCCCAATTCCATCTAGGTCCATCTATCCAAATACCTTTATATACCTTACTAAAACCTCCTTCAGCAATTAAATTTTTATTAAATTCTATATCTTCAAATTTTATAAATTCCAAATAATCACAAGTTTGTAGCGCTGAAATCTGACTAAATTGAATTATTTTATCTAATTCTCTATCTCCGCTTGTCCAGAAAGAAAAGTTTTTTTCCATACATCTTGATTCACATTTTGTACACCAACCATATGATTTCCTCGGGCGATCACAATCGGGACAAAGCCGATTAGCTTTACGTTGCGTTCGATTACTTTTTCCTTCTATTCCAACATCGCTCATTTTAAAGGGGAAAGGAAAAACAAAAATTTACTTACAACCCAAATTTACTCCTTTTTATATTTATATTCAATCAAAGAGCAAAAAAGGTAATTTTTTCCAAGCCTCCGTTATCAAGTTACCAAATGTATAAATTTAATTAAACCTGTACAAGTATAGGCGATTTCTTTGTTACATATCATATTAAAACACAAACAAATAATACAATTATTTACACCTATCAGGAACTATTTACAATGAAATTCGCCCACTACGTATAATGAAAACTTTGATGTTAATTAATTAATTAACAAAAAATTTTTTAAAGTTCAAATTTTATAACAAAAAATGTGTGATATTATTACATACGATTAAATAAAAATAGTCTTTGTTTTTAACATTAGCTTTAGTTAAAAAATAGTTCAAAAAATTTTTAAAATTGGACTCTTTTTATATTTTAAAGTATTCATTCAAATATTCTGTAATAGGAAATTTGAATGGATGCATATTTCATTACATACGTATAGTATACGTAAGAATATTTGCATGCACAAACAAATATTTTGTTTTATAAAATAAAAAGGTCTAGTGTAAAAATTATAGTACCCCTGCAGACTACATTTTAACTTATACCTGGTTTATATCTTTATATTTCTCATCATTAACTATGAATAAGAAAAAAAAATCTATATACAGTACGAGAATTATCATTATCAAAATATCCGGGTATAAGTTAAAGAGTACTCTACAATATTATCAAGCCTCGGCCCTCTCTGCCAAACTCGGCCCTGGCTTGTTTTGGCCCATATTATGAGCCCTACCCATTTCTGGTATGTGAACTAACTTTTATGTTTGGATATTTGATTCGCCACAACTAAGTTTATATATACATAGTAAACAAATCTATTGATATCTAAAGTATTATTCGGAATGTAACGGTCTGCTTTTACAAAATTTACAATTTTAGAATTCTAAAGTTTCGTGATTTATTGTTTTATTACGTATAGTATATATATACAGTATATACAGTATATATATATATATTTATTTATTTATTTATTTAAAATATTTTTAATTTCAATTAATACTAATTCTAACTTTAATTTAATTATTATATATATAATATATATAGAATATTTAGAATATATACAGTCTAACCTCGTTATAGTCACTATTGATATAGTCACAACCTTGATATAATCACACTATTTTTTAGCTCAAGATATTATGACATACAAAATTTGGCCTTTATATAGTCACAACTTTTTATAATCACTATATTCTTGTTTCCAAAGCTGGTAATTATATCGAGGTTAGACTGTATATTGTAGCTTTTATAGTATATACAGTATATAGTATTAAACACAAAATAGCTTTACAAATAGAGTTTTATGATACGAAAAAATATAACTAAAAATACATATATATTTATATATAAATACTATAAATAAGTACTATATCTTGACAAATTAAAGTATATATATAGATAGTATTAAAAATTTTTGCTTTTAATATACTGTAGTATAAAACTAATTAGAGCTATAGTATACAGTATATACTGTATATACTGTATATACTGTATATATATATATATATACTGTATATATAAATTAGAAGGCTTTATTATTAAAATTTATTAAGAAATTGTCAAATCTACTATATAATTAAACATATATACAGTAAAGTATATTTTTTTTTAAAAAAAAACTATATATATAAATTAATAACCCAATAATTAAAATTATATAATTTGTTTCAATCTTAGGTTTTAGAGAACTAGTTTAATTATCTATTTTTTCATACAATAGTTCTTGTTACCTGACTTAGAAATTAGAACATTCAAAATTGTATAAATCTGTACACATCACTCTGGTTACGTATAATGAACAATCTCAGTATTCGCGAATTGTTGCCAGTTTTGTAGCAAAATGACCATCTTTAATGGAGATCCCATATCTTGTGCGACTTTTATGGATACGAAAATTAAATAATTAAATAGCAAATGAATAATAAAAATTGATTTATTTACGCACACTCATTGAGCCTTGTAGCAAATGGAGCTGAATTACGCATTCTGCCTCATTCCGTAAATTTGACATCGCTTGATTTTGTCACTCGAATTAGCTCTACAACAAATATATATATATGTATATACATGGTAAATATTTTATGCGAACATAGTTCAAGCAAAGGAAATTGCTACGTATTTGTATCATATAAAACTGAAAGATGGCAAACAAAACATTACTTAAAATGGAGTTGAATAGACATTCGGAGATTCAATATCGTATCTGTTGGTTCATAATTGGGTAAAATTCACCACCCAAATTTTTTTTCAGATCATGTGAAATTATTTATTCGAAATATGTATGAATACAGTAATAATTAAATTAGCATCTCCGCTACGCTTCGCTTTGAGCGATCATATCAATCTGAAAAAGGTTGGGTGGTGAATTTTACCCAATTTTGGTTCATGGAATGCACATGTAGCGTAAACAGAGTTCCTTGAATATTGAAATTACCTAGAATAGCGTGAGTTGCCCAACAACTGGCAGGAAGTGTGGCATTGAAAAAATCTGGTTAAAAGTAAAATCAAAGTGTTCATTCGGAAATAGAAGACATTCTAATATATCAGCTTCTATGAAGTTTATGCTCTGAGGTTTAATTATTAATAGCGTCATTGGTATTATAACCGGACTTCTGAAAGTTGAAAGCCATTTTTAAGTCACGTGTTGGTCCACACCTACAGGAATTTAGATATTATAAATAATAAAAATAAGAATTTATTGTAATTTATAAAATTTAAAGCGAACCCAATGACAAGATCACGCGCACCACCTTCACGTAAGAGGTCACGCATAGAAGAAAAAATTGATTGCCAGACATATCTCATTAAATAATAGTGTAGTTGTAATCTATTTCTAGATTGTAACTTGAAAAATAATAATGTAGACGTTCTATATTCTACCATTTATAACTGTGAAATTTTCCTGAAAAAACTTTCTTTACTGGGGAAAGGACTATCTGAACGCTTATATTTGTGGTATGGAGGCTTGCAGATAAGAGTAATTTTGAATAACTGTTTCTCATGTTCATATAATAAAATAAGAATGGTTCGTATAGCTGAGGAAACGGAAAATAACTTTACAGATTAATACTGTACATGTTTTTTTTTGTATTGCAAACCATTCAGTACACTCATAAAACGTTTTAAATTTGTTACATCGGCAAAAATACGTGAGCTTTTTTTTTTTTTATCAATCAACGATCAGAGTAGCCGATTGTTTTCCAATGCAGATTAGGATAATGTCTCTGTGGTAGAGTATAGTGCATCAACTTAAAATTCGGATTAATATATATGTTGTACGTGGGAATGGGATCATAATAGGTTTGGAATCCATTGAATCAACTTAAATTCTGTTATCACCTACGACATATATATAATTTCCGTTAATGTATTAGCAATATAGAACAGTCAATAAGTAGACGTGCTCTCAACAAGAATGGGAATGTGATATAACATCGGCCCATATTAAATAGATTTTAATATTAGGGTTAGCTTAGGAAGTGTTAGAAAAGATAAAACTTATACCAAAATTATAAGTAGCTTTTTTTTTTTCTTAGACACCAAAGCAGTTTTATTAGAAAAATTTTTTTCTTAATTTTTGTAGATCAACCTGTCGACTTTCACGTAACTTTGTGATCTAACTTGATAATTTGTTTACTCCTGACAGGTTTGCTAGTACCAGAATTTGTCGATAACAGTTTTTAACCGATAATACTATATTACAGAATGTTTATCGTTCTACGCAAAATTTGTCATTGCACGTGATGCATTCGCCAACAGAACTTCAAAATTATCTATTATTTATAAATGGATTTTTTTGAACAGAAATGTAGAGTACAAATGTTTATTCTGCGAAGATTAATATAAAGACCAACTATTTATAAAGCTAAATTCAATTTATGCTAATGAGAGGTTGATATTAACATGAGGTTGATATTAACGAGGTTGATGAGGTTGATATTAACAAGGGTCAAAGCATTTTATAAATTATATACTAGATTTAATTTTAAAAAAATATATGCAATACATCTATAATATATAAAAATATGTTTAATACATTAAATATCAAACTCGATAAATAAGAATAAATTTATTAAAAACTGTTTTATACTATTAAAAAAAAAATTATACAGTATATATAATTTATAAATATAATTATTATAAAAATAATAAAATTTGTACATATGGCTAATTTTTCATTATAATATCTAATATAGGTTTAATTAATCAGTATATATAAAACTTTATTAATATAAATAAATCTATTGTATTTTCGCGTAATAACGCCCATGGGCTTTGTCTAAAAATCGTATTACTTGAACATGCATGGCTTCAAATGACGCCCAAAATAACGCGCATGTTTGGATCAATGTAAATTACACAAATGTCTCCTATTTAGCCTTGCGCAAGGATAGCATGGACATTTGGACAGTGTCAAATTTGTCCAAATAATTTGATTGGACATTATAATTTTTTTTATTAGACATAAAGAAAATTTTAGTTAAGTAAGTGGCTGCTAAGAGATTTTAAAAACCTTCACCTATAGAACCTTCGTGCAGACAATTCTTGTATAGAAATTTAAAAGTACACCAGAAAAATAGCGAGAATTACTAGGGAAATAACAAGCATTATCTGAAAAATTCGGTTGATTTCTCAGTGATTATAAGGCGAGTTCCTTCACGTGATCATATTTTAAACTAAGATTTCGGTGTCCAAGCGTTGAACTTAGTTTAGGTTTTCAATTTTGGTTATTGAATCTAAAATTTGCAAAAGAAAAATTCCTAAAATCCAGTAAAGTAAAACCTAAAAGGCTTTTACTTCGTTCTCTCAGCTCTAACCAGTTATTAAATTTGTTCAATAAAGACCTGCGGGTCTGTAGCGTAGTGGTTAGCGCTTCCAGGTCTCAAGCACAAGGTCACGAGTTTGAAACCCACAGGGGGGATCTATTTTTGCTAAA